ATATATATATATATATATATATATATATATATATATATATATATATAGGCATTCTTATAAACTGAGCATTATAGTGCACTTCTATAGTGTAATTCCAGGAGCTGAGACGTGGAGACAGGAGAATCAGGAGTTCAGGGTTGTCCTCTGATCCACAGTGAGTTTTAGGCTAGCTTTGGATGCTACTAAGATGTTGTAGCAAAAACAAAAGGACCATTTTTATTTCTCTGAAAGCTGTGTTTGCAACAGAATCCCAAATTTAGGAAAGGAGATGTTTGCAGCATTCTCCCTAGAGAAACTGAGCAACTGGATTTATCCTGAATATACATAAGAGAAAGGACAAATTGAGTAGCCAACTGTGCATACTTCCCCCTAGGTTTCCTTACCATGGCAAGAAAGTTGATGCAAATACTTTAAAACGTTTTCAGCAGATAGCAAGAAAGTCATCAACTAGAGTAATCTGATGTATATCAGTAGCATTCTACACACTAAGACCACAAACTGAGGAACATGTAGTTGAACAACTGACTAATGCATATTCACTAATGCGTATCTGCCAAGGCAGACAGACGGTTTCATTGAGCCTAGAATGTGCTCCACATCACTGTGAGTTCTGCTGCAAAGCATTACTCACGGCAATCAGCTGGTAGGAGTTGTTCATCATGGCAATGAGCATGTTCAGCAGCACCACCAGGGAGATGACATTGTAGGTCCCAAACATGGTGGCTCCCACAAACTCGGTGAACTCGTGTCTGGCCTTCACATTGGTGACATAGAGATTCAAAAGACCAAAAACGGACCAGAAGAGTGACTGCAGGGTTTCAAAGAGCCTAAAAGAGATGCAGGAACAGGTTAGTTCTCTGAGAAGTGTGGAGAGCTATGAGGTGGCTTATAAAATGGCAGTTATATTTTTATATTTTGGGCGGGTAGACTGCCATGCTTGCGTAGTTCGGTTTCCAGATAGCCAGCTCACTTCATCTGGACACTTTGCTCTTCTTCCTGGAATATTCTTTCTCTCCTCTCAGAGTACTGGTAACTTAGAAATGCCCAGAGCATATCTCATGGGCCATTTCCTCTACCAAACCATATTTCCCACTGCAGACCATGCTATCTATTACCTTTCTAATGATTTGGGTTCAGTGAACGCAGAGCTTAAGAACACAGAGCTTTGCAAGTTGGAGAGATGACTTAGTGCTGCTCTTCTAGATGACCCAAGTGCAGGTCACTGGACCATGTCACAACTGTCTGTTACTTCAGCTCTAGGGAATCTGTCTCCTCTGGCCTCTATAGGCACCCGCACTAATAGGCACACACTGACATAAAGACATACATTTGCCTACATATAATTAATTTTTAAATGTAAGGTGGAGCTTGGGCTATACTGCACCATGTTGAAATCTCAGCTGACCTTGCTTTCTCTCTCACTGAAAAAACATGAGGACAAGTTGCCTTTCCCCTCTCCCTTGGTTTTGGTCCCAGGGATGGAAGATAGGGGCTCATGTAGGCTAAATATCATCCCTATCACTGAGTTGTACTCTTGTTTCTACTTTCTTGTTCTCACAGACTCAGGTACTACTAAACTCAGTGGACGAGCTTGATGCATCTCATGATAATAAGTTATATGTTTTAATATTATATGATTTAAGTATTATTAAGAACACTATACACATGCTGTATGTGTTTTTAAAAAAATTTTTTGACAAGATCCCAATTCATTGTACAGACTAGACTGGCCTCCAAGTCAATATTTGCTGCCTCTGCCTCTTGGTTGCTGGGATTAAAGGTATGCACCACCACACCGTGGCGTGTTTTACACTTTTATGAATACATTATTTTTTTGAGATTAAATTTTATATTGTAAATGAAGGTATTTCTCAGCTCCAATAAAGAAGATAAATTCCGAATCCATTTTAACTTTTAAGCTACTTGGGAACACAGATTTCTTGCTAATGCATACATTATTATGACTCATAAAACTTTATGATAAAAAGCAGTACCTTTTACATTAGAATATGTGTTACTAATCCATAAAATGATGTGGTACTGCAAAGAAATGGGGAAAACATATAAAGAGAATCATAGAAAAAATCCAAGAGGTGATTTTTATATGATAACTATAGAGAATTTCAAAATCTGCAGAGGAAATATTGACTTTTTAATGAATAAGAAACCAATACATTAGAGAAAAACCTTATTATTATTGATGATGTTACATTCAGAGATTGATTGGCTCAAGAACACTCAGCTAGTAAGTGCTGAGCCAGAATTCAAGGGCAGCTCTTTGTGACCTCACCAAGCTGTTAATTATGCCAATCTCTATTAGATGGCTCTGCACATTATTGCTTTCTGTTTTAGTCTCCATACCCAAATATGGAATGTTGCAGTGATAATCTTTTAGCACCTGAGGTTTCTTCTGTCTTGTATTCAGAAATCTGCCTAATATTCTGCCTAACAAAGACAAAGGCTCTCTAACAAAATTGCTAATGCTTTGGGTGAAAATCAATGATATGCTCCATGAACTTTCAGATGACACAGGACTGGGAAAAGTGGCTAATAAACTGAAATGAAGACTCAAAGAAAAAAAGTTCTCTTCTGACCTCTACACCAATGCTGTGGCATATGTATCTCCCCAACAACATGTAATTAAAAATGTTAGAAAACATTTCAACAGCTTGAAGCAATGGGTTGAGAGTAACATACAGAATACAATAGAGAGCTGGGTATTGCTTTGTCCAAGTGCTGGATGAGAGAAATAGGGAAAAAAAAACCAAGAGGTTTTGCTGAAAGTGAGCTTAATGTGATCAGTAGAGTGGCGGAGCTGGATAGACAATTTACCAAAGGGGGTAGAGACAAAAGGAAACAATCTACAATGAAGAAGAGGATTGCTTCATACCCATCCATGTTGTAAATGGCTTCCTTTTCCAACTGGTGATTCTGAATAAGGTCAACTAGACCACCCAACATTTATTTTCTGGTGATGCCGTATAATATTTATGTGAGATGTTATCACTGGGGAACATCAGATAAAAGCTCCATGGGGTTCTCTTATATTATTTCTTAATGTTGCAAGTAAGTAAGTCTATAATTATCTCCAGATTTAGAATGATAGTTATTACCACTCTTCACTGTTTAAATTATTTAATGGGTATTGTGAATATCTTTAGTTCCTGGGCCTCTGTATGGTAAGTACAAACCTGATTACAATGGGAGTCTCACTTTGGTGGAGACAGACAGATGACTAACATACAGAAGGTTACCTATGATAGAAGACATGTGTTTAAAATGCTATAGGGAAATGGAAATAATCTACAGGAGAGAGTGGGCATGAAAAAGTTTTAGAACTGGTGACACTTAAAATCTAGAAGGCTGGAGAAGAGTCTGCCAAACTAGCCAGGTGTGTGATTCCTAATTGTGTGTGTGTGTGTCAAATTGACACAGCTGGGAAGAGGAAACCTCAACTGAAGAATTGTCTCCTTCAAATTGGCCCATGGGCTTGTCTGTGGGGGGATTTTACTGATTGCTAATTGATGTAGGAGGTCCTAGTCCACTGTGTGCAGTATCATCCCTAGGCTGAAAGGTGGGCCTGGGCTGCTTAAAAAAAATTTGAGCATGAGTCTGCAAACCAAGTTGGTTAGCAATAGTCCTCCTCTGCTTCAGTTCCTGCCTCCAGATTCCTGCCTTGACTTTCTGAATTGACTTTCCTCAATAAAGGACTATCACCTCAAAGTGTAAGATGATTTAAAGATTTCCTTCTCCATGTGGTTTTGGTCAGAGCAATTTATTAGAGCAATAGAACTCTAACTTCAACTGTGAGGACAGACAGAGGGAGTGGTGAACCATGTACAAGAGCCACACAGTTGAGACAAGAAGCTTTTGTGTATCTTGGAAGCAGAAAATATTGACTAAGAAGAGTGAAAGTGTGTAGGGGCCTGCTTTCAAATTTCCAAGTCCCTGCATGATATGGTAAAGAAGTTGGATTTATAGAGGGTTGCATGCACTGGGTAACCATCAAGCCAGGAATGATAAAATGATACTGGGATTTAGAAAGATATTTCCACACAGTATGGGGGAAATTATCATGAGGGGAGGCAGGAGACCAGCTAAGAGGTTCTTACTGTGATTCTTAGTATTTAGGCCCGAACCTAAACAATGTTATTCTCTGTATCTCTGTCTCTGTCTCTCTGTGTGTGTATGTGTGTGTGAGAGACAGTGAGAGAATGAGAGAGAGAGAGAGAGGAGCTTCAGAAAACACAACTGACAGGGTGAGTGAAACACTAGCTGTTTCATGAAGAAGAGTGTAAGCATGTCAGCTGGCTTGCAGGATTCTGGCTGCTGTCATTTAATGAGCTGAGGAATTAAAGGGAATATAAGTTAAGAGTGACAACATGGAGGTAAGTGATTTAGTTGTGGACACTCAGTGTCTTAAATGGGCTGTGGAATGAATACCCAGGTGTTTTCAGGGGACATCTGTAGATGAGCTCCGGGACCACTGAAAACAGATGTTGGACTTACAAGTTAGCATCTTTACATTTTCATTCTGTATCCCTCATCAGTCTCTATGTCCAGAGACTGATGGTGCTCTCCTCTTTCAGGAGCAGATGAAAGCTGGGTATTCCAAATATGAAATGCAGAGCTCAAATCAATGAAAGGGTTGCCATGTAGTTGTTAGCATGTATATTGTGTTCCTCACAAAATACATCTAAAGTGGAAAAGAATTTTCACCACATCTTAAAGCACAATAGCAATGACATTACTCAAGAATCATAAGGAAGAAGGAAAGTTAGGTGGGCAGACACCAAACTTTTCATGAGGTATCTAAAAATAACTCACATTCTCTTTCTGTAGAAGACCGTCTTTTTCCTAGAGGGGACAGAAGCTCCACAAGAAGAGCAACAGAATCAAGAAATCTTGGCCCAAGGGTCTTTTCTGACACTGATACTCCAACGAGGACCATGCATCAGATAACTTAGAACCCCTGCACAGATGTAGCCCATGGCAGCTCAGTGTCCAAGTGGGTCCCCTGGTAATAGTAACAGGGACTGTCTCTGACATGAACTCAGTGGCTGGCTCTTTGATCACCTCCTACTGAGTGGGGAGCAGCCTTATCAGGCCACAGAGGAAGACAATGCAGCCAGTCCTGTTGAGACCTGATAAGCTAGGGTCAGATGGAAGGGGAGGTGGACCACCCCATCATTGGACTGGGGGAGGGGTATGGGAAGAGAAGAGGGAGGGTGGGTGGGGTTGGGAGGGGATGAGAGAGGAGGCTTCAGCTAGGATACAAAGTAAATAGACTGTAATAAATTAAAATGTTGTCTTTTTTATTTTTGGCTGACCAGCATGCAATTTAATAGGTGATATTATCAACACCAAGGTTGAAGTGTTTAAAAGAAAATAAATCTGGATGATGACTCTTTGGAAGAAACCAATCCAAAGGTGGAGGTAAAGTTGAAATGACATTACTGTTACTTTGGGTCCAACATGACAATGCATGTTCATACCTGATACCTCAAGACATAATTTCATATATGGCAGATTCTCATTCATGTTGATAGTCCCTGTGAAGGAAACATGGGAGCAACATTTCCATTGGCAACAGAAGTATTCATAGTGATTACAAACTTGCAGGAAGGCATTTCACATACTTCCTTGGCAGATTTCACACAGAAGGGGAGTCCTTAGGACTCAGCGTCCTGGAAGACACTTTGCATTCAATTGTTCCACCCTTTCAAAGACTTTTACAGGAGTAATCTAGTCTCTTGGTTCAAATGACACTATAGAATTGCTCTTTCTAATGCTGTTAGGTGGATATGAGTCCTGTCCCCAGAGGCATGCAGAAGAAGAAGGCCAAGTTTCTAGCGATGAAACTCCAGCAAGGTTACTGTTACAAAGTTACTGTTATGCACTCTGCTTGGCTTAACAACACAGTGATAGCTCTTGACTGACCCACTCTGGACCTTTATCTGCTCATTTTTTTCCTATCCAAGATTTTACTGTGATCCATAGGAAGAGAGATGGGTGATGGTCTGGTTGAGGTGAAGAGGGCTGCCATGGGCAATGTAATGAGCCAACGTGTCTCACTCCAACATGTTCATTGGAGAGATCACTTGAATGAAAAGAGGAAGCATGTTTGGAGAGAACATACATGGGAAGACCTCCTTCTCTTTCTGGGATGGAGATTCACAGTGGAAGGACTCTGAGAACTTCCTTTGGGAAAGAGAACTTTCTCATTTTATCACAATATTTCTGAAACACATCTTACCTCAGACTCTATTTTCATGCCGGTTACCAGTCCATTGAATGGTGGAATTTAAATAACTTACTTTAGGGAATACAGCTAGAGGCAAGTCATGTAGGGAAGAGAGAAAGCCTTGAGTTTTCCTGAGTACAATTGATTAAGTTTAAAATCCCTTTGTAAAACTGAGTATAATGGTGAAAATCTGTAATCCTAGGACTTGGGAGGTAGAGATGGAAGGATCAGGAAATCAAGGTCAGCCTCAGCTATACAGGGATTTCAAAAGCCATGCCAGAATAATATGAGACCTTGTCCTCAAATGACAGCAATAGCAACAACAACCAGAACAAAACACCCTTGGCCTCTAGCCATTTCTTGTTTTTAAGGCAGAGTGTTGCTGTGTAATCTAGGTTAGCTTCAAACTTGCAATCTCTCTGCCCCTTCATAGGAGGGCTGAGATTCCAGCACTTGACCTGGCCATGCTTACTAAAGATTTTTCTAGAATGTCTAAGTCCAGTGAACTGACTTATAGAATTAAGGAAAAATAACTCATTGGAAGGGGTCAGCAAAATATCTCAGTGAGTAAAAGTGCTTGTTACCAAGCCTGATGGGCTTGAGTTTGATTTCCAGACTTACATAGTAGAAAGAGAGAATCAATGTCTAGAAGTGTGCAGTGTCATGTATATGATCTCTCTCTCTCTCTCACACACACACACACAAAGAAATACATGTTCAAAAAATCTAAAAGTTCTGACATCTGTAGGAACATGAATGTATGTAAAGGGTATTAATGTTAAGCAAAATAAGCCAGCCATACAAAAACTGCATGATCCAACCCATGTATGGAATGTAAAAGCATTGATATTGTGGAAGTACAGAGAAGAATGGTAGTTTTGGGAGGGTGAGGATGAACAGAAAGTGGGAGAGATGGGAGAAGTTGGTCAGTGAAAACAATGCTGCAGTTGGATGGGAGCAAGAAGTTCTGGTGATCTCTTATACAATAAGGAGAGTCCAGATAAGAATAGCACATTGTATGGTTCAAACTGGCTAGAAGAGATCCTTCTTGTTCCACCACAAAGGAATGAGAAATAACTGAGGTGATAAGGATGCTAATTACCCAGATTTGATCATTGTATAGTGTATGCATATATCTAAACTTCACATTGTACCTCCAAGATTTGTATAATTTTATATATCCAATCATTTGTTAAAAAACAAAAATGTAAAAGATGAATTCTTCGTTTAAGGACTAAATTCTTAATTTAAAGAATCATGAATAAGTTTTGGGTCTCCAGAATGGGTACTGAGATGGACAAAGTGAAGGACAGTGAAGCTCCTAACCTAAGAAAATTGTCTACCTTCCTTCCTTCCTTCCTTCCTTCCTTCCTTCCTTCCTTCCTTCCTTCCTTCCTTCCTTCCTTCTTTCCTTCCTTCCTTCCTTCCTCCCTCTTTCCCCTCCCTCCCTTTCTTCCTTTCTTTCTACATCTCTCCCTTCCTTTTTCCTTTCTGCTTTGGCTCCTTTTAGATAGAGATCTCACTGTGTAGCCAAGGCTATTATCAAACTCATGAACCTTTTGCCTTAGCCTACCGAGTGGTGGGATAATAGGCAGGTATCACAAGATCTCTCTGCTTCCTTTCTTTCTCTTTTCTATTTTTCACTATCATTCTAAAGCCCTTCAGGGGAGTGGTGGTGAAAAAATTCCAAAGAAGCAGGTCTTCACAGTAGGAAGGGAAAGCACAGAAGTTACCTGCCCAGAGGCTGTGGTCTTCTGGGACAAAGGACCATGAACAGCCTTCTATACTCAAAATGGAGTGGTGACATTTCCAGCCAATCCTTAAATTTGTTTAGTAGGCAGGTTGACCATAATCTTGCCTCAAGCCTGTCTTACTCTATCTTAGTGTATGCATGTTAAAGAGAGTGCATTAAGATACTTTTGTCTCCTTTGTGATTTAAGTTTGACTTACAGTCATTAACTTACCTTTCTGGCCACTAGTTCCTAGGACTAGCTTGTGCTTTCACATCCTCTGTGGCTGCCACTCTTTTGAATATTGTAAAAAGTACTCAGAACTACCCTTTAAAAAAATGGAGCCACTGCAAGGCTCTCTCTGTATCTCTGTTTCTGTTAAATCTGTTTTTCTTCTCCTGCTATTCTTCTAGTACTGTGTTGAAAGAAGGACTTTCTGCCATCCCAAACCCTTTAGTTAGATCTGCAGAGAGCTCTGCTTTTCCCATGAAGGGATATGTGTGAAGCTGTACATGGAAAATACAGCAAAAAGGAAGACAGGAAGAAAGCAAAAGAAAGAGAGATGCTCGTCTTACGTGGAGAAGGCGTTGTTCTGTTTCTCACACCGGATCCCCTTGCAGTTGTTGGGTTCATCGATGGCTCTTGTCTCATAGTAAAAGTAAAGCTGGTTGAGTCCGTTGGCAAAAGCCAGCAGCACTAGGCAGTAGATAAAGAGGAACTTGAGTATATCGAGAAGCATGCGTCCCAGAGAGATCTGCAGAGGTCCTAAGTGGGAGTTGGCTGTGAACAAGGATATGAGACGCAGGGAACTTAAAATGTTGGATATTGCGAAGAGCGCTTCAGCGATCAGAGTCGGGTGCCACATTTCCCATTCTTCCCTTGGACGAGAACCGTTGTACTGGAACAAACAAACAAACAAACAAGAAGTGCACAATATGAGAAGGACAGTGAATATGTCCCCTTTGTACCCTTCTGCTCACAAAGTAGGCACCCAGGACTCAGCTTATAAACTTCCCCGTGCATGGCACTATTGGTTGTCTTGCCCCATTCAGTCAGCACACAGTGCAAATAACTCTCTCCTTCCCACTGTTATCCAAATATATACCATGAAGATATACATAGCAGAAGGGATTTCAGAGCCCTCATCTGCGACAGCCACCTGTGGTTTATCAACAGACATTTTCTAGCTGCGTTTACCAATCTGAGTTTACCAGATTGCTCTTGGGTGTTTCTGAAAAGAAGCCATTGGGGTGCCTAAGGTAGCAAGGACCAAATTATTTCACTTCACAGTGAGATTTCCTCTCAGATCTATACCATGTCCCTGTCCTGCATTGGCCTGAAATACGTGGTCAGTTTGCAGTTCTTGAAGGACAACAGATAGATTCAGGGGAAGCTCAATGTTCATTCTCCAGGCTCGGCTGCCTCCAGTGTGACGCCGATGGAGAGTCCTCAGGGAGCCTTTCCCCAGAGCTCTGTGCTGCATTTTTAGCAGTTTGTAATGTATTCTACGCCATCGCAAATGGCATGTCAACCTTCCAGGTAGCAAATTTAGTACTTCTTCCCTTAGTGACATATGGATGTATTTTACTGTTTCTCTAACAACTCTCTGAGATAGAAAGGCCTTCCAGTGCAGATGAAGAACCGGGAAGCTGAAGGAGAGGGAAGAGCCACTATTTATGGAGTTGGCTGCCCATTTCCAGCCTTCCGAAGGCCTCTGTCACAGCCTCATCGAAAAGTGTGAGATGGTGAGGTCAGGACTCTTATTTGGAAATTGCCACTCAAAACGGCCTGTCACTTTTACCTTCACATTCAAAGAAGGATGACGTCATTCTCACTTTACACATGTTTCTGATTCTGTATTTATGTGCAAGAGTCTCAGCACCCCATACCAGAGAATAGTATGGAAATACAAGGAACTAACTGTTAACCATCCCAAGGACAAAAGTAGGTTTTGCCTGAAATACAATATGAAGCACCATTATTTTTCACTTTCATTTAAACATCACAGTTTCTGAGAAAATGCATTGCAGGCCAAATTAACCAATAAAACTGGTGGTGTTAAAATCACTTGTGTATATCCAACATTCTTCATTGTCAGGGGAATCAGAGAGACCATGTCACATGAATGCATCTCCTTCAGATGGGCCTTATGGTGGCTGATTAATTTTTTTGTAATCTTAACCAAATTTTCTACATCTTTCTTCAAAGAAAAATAAAAACAGTTTTTGAATCACTGTGGGCAAGTAGGTGGTGTGCCTGTCTTACAAATGGAGGAAATATTTTTGAAATACAGAGGGACTTGCTTAAAGGTCACACATGAATTTGATGGCAGAGCAGGAACTGAACCCCAGGTCCTTCTACATTAAGGCTGGCACTGTTCTCACGAAATGTCACACACATGAGGGTTGATCTCACAACACAGATGTTGCAAATGTTGGTACAAGTTTCGAGAGCTGTGTGAGAGATTGAGATTCTTTGGTGATAGGCGAACAAAACCTATGTTTAAAAATGAGAACTAATGACATGGCATATGTGCAGTCTAGAATTTATTTGATTTTTTTACTGTTTCTCCACCAGCAGAAGTCTGTTGCCCACAGCGTGGCAGATCTTGATGTACAGAATACTCTGAAGCATAGAAGACAATTCTCTTGGGATATTTCTAGTTTGCATCTTACACCTCTGGAAGAACACCTTAACAGATAGGGGGAAATAAGCTCAGAGTTCATCCAGCATGGATGTCAATAGGCATTTTTCTGTCAGTTGCCAGATAGTGCATATTTTTGGCTTTATCAGCTATAGGTCTCAGTCACAACTTAACACTCCCTTTGTAGGTAGCACTGAAGTGGCCAAAGACAGTGAATAGGCCAGTGGATGAGCCAAATTTGGTCCACAGACCAAAGCTTGATAACTTCTGATCCAATATTGTCAATTTTCAACTGTATTTCTTAGACTCTCAACATTTAATGGAGACATCTAATGACCACTGCAGGAGTCAAAGCGGAAGATTAGATGACACATTATTGATGCCAACTCAGCCCTCTGGGACATTTTATATCCTGTAGTTCCATGTAAGTTACCACTTAAATATATGTTTCCATGACTACAAAGCTTGAAAACCACTAATAGAGTTTAATTTGCTTGTTTATCAGAGGCAATATTGAGACTCTGAGAGGTGGAGGGATTGGCAGTTGGTGATCTAGCTCACAAGTGTGAGTATGGATTAAATTCGTGTATCCAGAAGCTAGGTTAGTGACGCTGGGAGATTAATGACATTTCTTACATTCTTTGAAACAGAATGCAGTTTGAAACCGGGCCTCACTTTTTTATTCAATGAGGTGAGAAATACATTCTGTAAACCCAAAAGTGAAATATGAACAGGAGTAGTCTAATGTGGGGACTTGATGATGGCAGGATGTTAAATGATCACCATATGCAGAAGGAACACTCTTGGGCTCCTTTCAAGAATGTTTCATGAATGCATTCAATATTCATGCTCATAATGCCCTTCTTTTGCAATAAAGGCTGAGAGCCTACGTAGTTTTAGTACTTTCTCTAATGAAAAGCCCTTATTCTAACAACAGGAGCCACGTTAACTATGAAAGGGTGCTGTAGTTTTATCACAATATTATTTGATGTATAGTTGGATAAATTGTACATGTTCAAAAATATTCATGCTCTCTATAACGCTCAAGGTCTTACAGTTTAAGCAATATGCATATTTGGTGTGTAAAAATAAACAAAATTGTTGGAGACTTGGGGGCCAGCCATCTTTCCCATTCTAAAAGTCCTCAATGTGAAATTTAATACCCAAAGCATGACTGACTAGACACCTTGGGGAATGAACTTTCAGCCAGCTCTCATGCAAAAAAACTCACATCACAACAGAAGGAGCATAGCCACACTTTCTATTAGTAAGCAGTAGACCTGACCTCTGACCTCTGTGGAGGGGTACCTGAAACTTTAATTCATATTTATTGTCTCATTTTGCTTGGAAAGGGTAATCTTACACGTGTTGTATCTCTGTGGATAAGAGAACCAGACTCAACCCATTCACAGGTCTCATTAAGAAATCAAAATTGTGCATATTTTATAATGATTTTCAGGGTAATTCAAGGTGCTTTTGTGTAGGGAGAGTATTAGTGTAGTGGGGCTTGCACAGGGCATGCATTTTTTGAACTGGTAGGGTGATGTGGCTTGAGCGATACTGAAAAATGTGGGCTTGTGACAGACTGAGTGATTATCCTGACAGAGAAATAATGAGGAAAACAGAGGTTCCTGTAGACCTACGTGTCCCATAGTTTCTGGGGTTGTGCTGCTTGTCACATGAAGAATGGGTTGGGGAAGCAGGGATGTCTGGCTTTGTGAAACAGTGACTCAGAAGGTGAAGTAGAGCAGATGCTACCTCTACTACAGACATCAGTTTGTTCTCTATGCCTCCACAGGGAGGAGGGGTCTCCACAGGCTAGAGAATAGGAAACTATTAATGAAGTAGAAAAGAACTGATTTTACTAAAGTGATAACAGATATGAGGACTTTTGGAGGTAAGGAATTGAGTGGATTTCCTGCCACCGCCCTGTATAAGTCTCAGTGTGTCATCTTCTTCGGAGGAATGTTAGAGGCTTGAATGTTTACACACTGAAAACTGAAGACACCTCTACCCCGACAGTCCAAGAAACTTAAGGACTCCTCTGAAAAAAATATTCCATTCTCCATCTGATTTGCTGAAGTCGACACTACTTCCTGGCTATTGAATGGGTCTCTGGAATGTTTTTTCATGTGGATGGGACACTTAACTGATTTTTCTCATAAACTCTTCTTGCTCTGGGTACAAAAGTTTATCAACATAACCCAACCAAACTAACTGGGGAAGAAAAACACTAGGCATTCCATTTTACCTTAACATAGGCCACAATCTTCAAAGAAATAGTTGCCAGGTAGAGGGAGTTCATTGCAAAATCCATTAAGTTCCACCAATCGTGGATGTATTCGGTAAATCCTCCATCCCACATCTCCTTTATCTCCCCCCAAATGAAACCTGAAAAATGGAGACCAAGAGTTTATTTCTTTATCAAGATAGTGTTGGGTATCACAACAAAAGTCCCCAAATGAGTAAAGATGATATTTCTGAATGAAGTGATGAATAAAGAGTCATAAATGATTTGTAAATGAACTCCCCTCAGCGGGTAAGACTCTTAAGAGTTGGAGATCACTTACCTTTCTTTCCTTGGTCACCCCATCTCCAGATCTTGAATTTGTCAAACCTAGTATGCTTTTCATTTTTCTGGACACTCCCACTTTTATTTTTCAAAAATTGCATACAAACTACTAGGTTTCATTATGACATTTTGAAACAAAAAAGCATAATTTGCTTTTGTTGTTCTCAACCACTTTTCTCATCCATTGCTCTTCTCCTTCCTTTAGCCTTCTACTCCTGGTAGCCCCTTTTTGGCTTTCATGTCACATATGTTCTATGTCCTCTTCCTCAATACCTCTTTTCTCCATCTCATGGTCTTCTTTCTATTTTTATGATGTATATTCACACTAACGCTCATATAAAAGCAATGATCTACATATAAGGGAACATGAAGTATATGTTTTTCGAAGTCTAGGTAACCTTGTTAAATATAATATTTTCTGGATTCACCAATTTTACTGTATATTTCACAATTTTATTATTCTTTACAACTGAATAACCTTCCATTGTGTCTTAATTATCCATTCATCTGTTTATGGACATCTAGGCACTTCCTTGTTATTGTCATAGTGCAGCAATAAACATAGAAGTGCAAGTATCTCTATGGTGGGATATAGGGTGTTTTGGTCACATGACCCAGGAATAGCATTGTTTTATGAGGAACGACCACATTGATTTTCAGATTGCATGCCGAAGCCTCCCACCAACAGTGAATGAGGTGCTATCCATCCCCCCCAACCCTGCATCACTACTTTCTGGATGACAGCGTTCTGACTAGGGTGTGATAAAATTGCAAAGTAGTTTTAATTTTCATTTACCAAATGGCTAAAATATTCATTGTCCACTTTGTCCTCCCCCCAACCCTTGGCACCTGAGACAGGGTTTCTCTGTGTAGTCTTGGCTGTCTTGGACTCCCTTTGTAGACCAGGCTGGCCTCAGACTCACAGAGAGCCAACTGCCTCTGCCTCCTGAGTGCTGGGATTTAAGGTGTGCGCCACCACAGCCAGCTAACTTTGTCCTTCTTAATTGGAGGCTGTTGTAATTTTATCTTGAACTTTAGCTTAGCTACTGCAGTATTAGGCACTGGATTCTACATTCTTCTCATTTTGGAGTGTAGTAAATTGACTTCATCAATATTATTCCATGGTCTTTACTTTACACTGAGTGCTAAGGAGAAAGACTCTCCATGGGTTTTGAGGTACTCACCAGGACCCACACTGCCAGACATAAGTGCTGAAGATAGGCATTGTGGCTCCAAATCATTTAGGGTCCCATTTTCTCTGTTCTTTTCTAAGTATATGTTTTTGTTTTCTTTCTGTGTGTGTGTGTGTGTGTGTGTGTGTGTGTGTGTGTAATTTTGCCTGTTGACAGAGATGCTTCATTAAAAGTTTGTGGCTGTGGTCAAGGGCATAACTTTCCAGACTTTAAACAGGGAACAGGACAGAAGCTTACCACAGAGGGGCTCTGAAAGACTCTACCTTGCAGGGTATCAAAGCAGATGTTGAGACTCAGAGCCCAACTTTGGGCAGAGTGCAGGGAATCTTATGAAAGAATGGGGAGATAGAAAGACCTGGAGGGGACAGGCGCTTCAGAAGGAGCTCAACAGAAAGAGCAACAGAACCAAAAAATCTGGGCACAGGTGTCTTTTCTGAGACTGATACTCCAACCAAAGACCATGTACGTATATATCCTAGAACCCCTGCACAGATGTAGCCCTTGGCAGCTCAGTAACCAAGTGGGTTTCCCTAGTAAGGAGAACAGGGACTGTCTCTGCCATGAACTCAGTGCTCAGTGACTGGCTCTTTGATCACCTACCCCTGAGGGGGGAGCAGCCTTGCTAGGCCACAGAGGAAGACAATGCAGCCAGTACTGATGAGACCTGATAGACTAGGATCAGATGGAAGGGGAGGAGGACCTCCCCTATCAGTGGACTGAGGGAGGGGCATGGGTGGAGAAGAGAAAGGGAGGGTGAGATTGAGAGGGGAGGTGGAAGGGAGCTACAGGGGGGATAAGAAAGGAATAAACTTTAATTAATAAAAATAATAAAAAATTATTGAAAAAAATAAACAGCACTTAAGGGTGATGTTAATTTCTAGACCCAGTGTAGGTCATAGGGTGTCTTTGATAAAATCCTAAGTAGTGCTCAAAAGGTTAGCTTGGGGTTCATAGTTTGGGTGTCAAAGACTTAGAAGATGGCATGTACTGGAGAGTTCAGTTTTATTTCATTATGCCTAGAGATCACAGGTGACCAACTTTTACCACCATCAGTGCCAATTTCCCAGTTTTTTTTTCTGCTGATTGTGGGATCAGTATCTAAATAGTACATGGCACCTGAACGGGTGCTGGGATTATATGAAGTAGAAACAAACACAAGAAATCAGCATCCTCCATGTGCTTCCTGGTTATGGGAAAGGGTGTTTTAAATAGAATGCTTGCCCTGTCTAGTTTACCTGAAGCCTATACTGACTGACACAAAGTTTTCTTTCCTAAACCCAGTAACAGCCATTTTTTTTCCACCCTAGAAGATGTTAGGTGAACAGATGCAAACTCAGAGAACATGCTTGGTTTACGAGAGCTCAAACATAATTGAGTGATCAGAGACTAAGGTAGAAGGAGCCACCTTTCTTAAATTCTCACCAAAGGTCTGCTGGAGGAGTTCTAGTTCAGAGCTATTCCGAGTACAGGTTCCTGTATTATTTTTAAGCAGGGCTAGAAGACAGCCTAGTCATTATAGCTCTGTTTCACTCACCTAGAACCCAGGGCAATATCATCCATTCCACAACAGTTGGGGGAGGTCCTTGTACATGGAGGTCTGTTCGGACAATATGCTGAGAAGCCAGGAGAAGCATGAAGAGGAAGGTCAAATAGGATGCTGTGTGGCATATGAACTTGATAAAGGGCTTCTTGATGAACAACCCAAGGTTGCTTCTGGGTGAGATCAGATAGGCTATGGACAGCATAGGGAACAAGAACCCAATGGTCATGCAGGTCAGAAGCTTGACTACCCAGTGTTTTCTCCGCCATCCAGGGAAGCCATCATACCACAGGGTGGCAAGCAGTTGTTGGCAGTTTGGCTGAGCGACAAACTGGGGAAAGAAAAGAACAAGTTAGGCCCCTAAGATGTTCAGGAAAAAGTCAGCGTTCATAATACTTCTAGCCAGTCTTCTCCACCAAGAGGCTAGTCTGTAACATATCCTCAGGAAATATTGAGAATCACTCAAAGCACATGAAAACAAAAAAATCTAGGTTCCCAGGTTCTTTCTGGATGGGCCGAGGCTCCCTTAAGGTCTGAAGGAATAGAGCCTGGACATCAGTTTTCTAAATTTTCCTGGGAATGTACATGCCTCTCGGCTGAGAATCATGAGAACTTTTATCTCAGACTGATTTATTTCTGCTCATTCCCTTAGCCTACACGGGGTCACCATCTAGTGTGCGGTTGGTTCTGGGAAAACACAAACTGCCAGAGAATCAACGGCCCATGGCTATGCTTTGAAATGGAAATTAGTTCCCTTTTTGATTTTGTTTTTTTCCCATTATGTTTTGAGTATCACTTGGCTGATTTGCAATAAATCAGGTCCTTACGTTGCTAGCTATTTAATACCCTTCCTTGCCTAGACATACAGCAAGAAAAATATGGAGGGAGGGCCAACACTGTAATATTGTATACTAGCCCTGCTGGGATTTGACTTAAGGCAATTGACGAAGTGTCAGTGATTAATAATTAAGGAATAATCAGCAATGCCAGTCACCTTCCAGCTGCTACTTCCTGGTAAGTGACTCAGTAGGGAGCTGAGCTGTCAACCATGATTTGAGATACTGCCTGTATCTGACTACTCAAGCTTCCGGGGGGAACAGATTAACATAGTTCTACCATGTAGCACACTAGTACAAAGAACAGAAAGCTCTTCCATCATTTACCCAACACCCAAGGCAAACTACCCCAGCTTTACCATTATATTTACAATGACCAGGAATTCTTAACCAAATTGTTCTTCTTGGGTAAAGCATATTTCTCAGCAGCCCTGGTTATGCAACTAAGTTCTCATTAATGGAACAGGAAGGGAAATGGTGTGTGACAGTCCCATGATTGGCCCATAGAAATTTGCAATGTGTGTTGCTCTGTGGCTTTACCCCATTTGTAGGGCTTTTTATGAGTACATGTCCCTGTCCCTTAGTATCTATGAGGAAGAGAACTATCCTACTGACCAAGTATATTTACCTTGAAACATTACATGTGTGAGGAAATTCTATTGCATTTAAGCCACCATATGCTTTTAGATTTAAAACAGATGACAATTACAAAACTGTGAGAAAAAAATCTCTATGCCTGAGAGATGGCTCAGTGTTTAAGAGCCTTGTTGCTCTTGCAGAGGACCCTGGTTCAGTTCCCAGATGACCCATATGTCAGCTCACAGCTTTTTGTGACCTTTTAGTTCTAAGGGATCTGATGCCTTTGTTTCACCTCTGTGGGCAAAGGCATACATGTGGCACACATACATACAATAAAGCCCAAAACCCTCTCACACACAAAATACACCAAAACATTTTCTAATTTACAAAATATTTTTATCCTCTGACCTCATTTCACTCAAATAAGTTGAAAATTTCTATTATGTATTCACAACTCCTTTCCACAAATCTATACACAAATCATCTAGATCCTTTATACTTTTCATCTTCAGCATCACAGACTATAGCACAGAAGTCCAATACTATACAGGGAAGTTAAAGGGTAAGGCTAAATATTTGGATGCAATGGAAAAAAAAAACTGAAAGTATTAAATCTAGTGAGATGCATAAAAAGATTGGGATTTTTTTAAATTACAGTTTATTATTCCTCTCCTTAGAAATTTACTCATCAGAGCAGATCAAGTCACCTTGGAATCTTTAGTCCTCCTTCTTTTTTTTTTTCTCCAGATTTGATGTAGGCCTTTGCAAGCCCTTTACGCTGACCTTCAATACCGTCTTTGTCCCTTTCCCCATTTTCTTCTCAAATAGACAATGCCTTGCAAGTCTGTGTTTAGGCTTTGTTCTGCTTGCATAATTAAAGGCAGCATGCCAAAGCCAGTAGTCTTGCTACCACTATAATGGTCTCTGAATCCAAACACAGTAATGACGTCTGGTATGGCCTGATGTGATTTGACAAAGTGTAGTCTGTCTTCAGCACTGTTGCTTTCACAGGATAAAGGACATTGATGGTTATTTGTTTCTTCTGAGGCAGGTGGTTGGTCAGGAATTTTCTGGTCTTCACAGTTACTGTGTTATTCCTGATGGTGGTCATCCTCAAACAGCCAAAGAAGAAATGGGGACTGCTTTTTGATGGCTAAAACTATCAATGTGCCAGGAAGGACCCCTCCAAAAGACAGTTTTACAACTGTGAAGTATGGGAGCTGGAAAAAGTATGGATAAGGCATTAAAGGGAACCCAAGTGAGGCTTTGTGGGTGGGGCAATACCTGAGTGGAATATGAAAGGTTATATAGGAGATGGTAAGATACAGAAGAAAGGGAATAGGAAGAAACAGCAAAAGCAGAGAGGATGACATAAATAAAGGCATGGACAGGGGTGAAGAAGGGCCAGGCTCATCTTGGGAGCAGTCTTACTGTGGCTGCAGCTTGCTCTGTGAGGCTGTAAATGATGAGTGATGAGGCTGGAAGGGAAGGAGGGAGGGAGAGGTTAAAAAGCACATCCAAACAACCTAATCTTGAGTTATCATAAATAATGCACACCAGTCTTAAGAGCAATGGGGAAACAGAAGAGTATAAGTAGGTGTGTGGACACACAGATGTGCATGTCTGCAAGTTTGTCTAACAGTTTGTAGAATAGGATATGGGTACCATATTCACTTGAAAGGTGATGCCAACGACAGCAGCATACATTTGTTGCTATTAGGTACAGCCGGAACGGACACCCAAGTCTGGCAGAGTCTATGGAGTAAACTCCCAAAACATCCATGAGTGGTATGGTCTGAGAAGCACAGAAAGCTGACTTTCTTCACACCTAGCTCGTGGACCTTGCCACACTGGTTGAAACACACATATCCCTCCCTGCTGTGGGAGAAACATTAAAGTTGTACTCACATATTTAGGGAGTGGTAGCATAAAAAACTATTGAAATATTGTTATCAGTTTCCAGTCAGCATATTGTGCTAGCTAGTTAAGGGACCTGCCTGTCAGTAAAGCCCAGAGATGATTGGAAAGTGCAGCTAACAGTAGTTTAGACTATAGTATTTTATAAACTGTATTGCTTCAACTCTTGGCTATGCTACTTACTGTTCTTTAATTTTGAACATTATTAAAATTTCAAGTTAATCAGTATGAAATTGCTTTTCATTTATTTGATCTGTTTTCTTCAAACAGTGTCTTCTAGTTTTCAGTTTACAGGTCTTATACTTCATTCATTAATTCTCTTGGTTAGCACTTGATAAATTTTGGTGCTATTTTCTTTCAAATTTAGTTTTGGATTCTATAGTGATAGTGTATAGAAACTATCGAGAGATAAAATTTGTAACAAATTTAGTTATCACACTAATGAGCTTTTAGACATGATTCATAAATTGAGACAACCTGTATTCCAAAAAAAAAAAAAGACGTAAAAGGCTTTTGTTGAAAAAATAAAAAATAAATAAATAAAGGCTTTCATTGGACAATCACATAACAACTGGTTGCATAACAACAGAGGGAGAAGAAAACTAAAAAAGAAAGAAAAAAGCTAATGGTTAACATCAAGTTACTTGTAGTTTTTTTTTGTGTGTGTGGTAAGGATCAAAGCGGAGAGAACTTCCTTATTATACTGAATCATGTAGACTGAATCACCTGTTTTCCAAAAATACCCACTTGCTTTGAGTATCATCTAGATCGTGAATGCGTTGGTTTAATTGTGTGAAAACGATTGTTTTGATTTGGTCTGGTCAGAACTCAGTTCAAAATAGTCTCCTCCACAGTTATTGTCTCCTGATTTTGCGTGTTGACATTGTATGTTGCTGTCTTACCCATTTCATTTACTAGAACTAAGTTTCTGCTGTTGGTTGTTCCTTAGCATTTTCTTTATACTGGATCATGTCGCCCATGAATAGAGTTTAAATTCTTCCTGTCTGAACTGAATGTTTAGTTGTTCTTCTCACTGAACCTAACTACTATCTCCAGTAAAGTGATGAATTGAAGTAGTGAGAGCGAACATATCTGTCTTAATTCAGGTTTTAGGGCAAAAGGCTTTTTACAGTTGCTTTAGTTTGCTTTTATCTGGTTGAGGACTTTCGCTTCTAATTATACTTTTCACATGTTTTGACCATGAAATACTGTTGGATCATGTCAAGTGCTTTTTCTGTGTCAACTGCCATGATCTGTTGGGTTTTCCTCTTCCCTCTGCTACTACATTACATTAATTGATTTTATGTTGAATTGCTTTCACATTTCTGCAATACATTCCATTCTGCTAGGTATGGAATCCTTTTTATGCGTTGTTGCATTCACATTGTTTTTGTTGTTTATTCTGTCATTTTCCCCAAATATGGTCTGCTTGAGGTAACCTAGATGTTAAACAACTGTTGCTTTTGTTTTTTAAAATGTCCTTGGAAAAGGGCTTGTCGATAGTGAGTCATGTGTCAGAAGACACGCCCTATGACAATTTTTTTTAAGTGACCTGACAGTCACATTCTGACAGGTCTCTAGGGATAGGTTTATTTGGAGTGATTCAAAACCATTCTTCTCACTCCAGTGGGTAGCAGGTGCTGACTTTTCACAGATACTGTGGCAACAGGGATTTGGCTTTCAATGTCTCTCTGTGGGCAGGGTAGAGGAGGATGGGAATAGGGCATGTTCAAATACTGCAAAACTTGTTATTCTTCCCAATATTCAGCTAGTTTTACTCAGATAAATTCAGCTCTGATTGTTGGAAGCTTTTGGCTGATTTTTAGAGTTTTGAGGGGGGAAAAAGCTGGTTTTAAGGGAATTCTCAAGGTCTTAGTGATATTTTGTAAGACTGGATTTTCAGAAGTCCCAACCATTCTGAAAGTGCTTTGTAATTTTTCAACTCGTCATGTGTGAAAACTGGAGGAAATGATACAGTTCTTCCCCAATTCTGCTGTTC